ATGACTTCGGAACGTCGACAAAATACATCAAAAAGATTGCGCCTTCTTTTTTATGTTTCATATAAGTATTTGTCCTACTACATATATCTTCACATAATCAATTCACGTGAATCTCTCAAGCTATTAAAAAGAGGTCGCCCTGTATAAGCACGTCCAATAACTCACTAAACCACAACAACTACCTAGTTACCGTTATTTTTATCATCCCATCTATACTAGGCTATCAAATCAAAAGAGAAAGTAGGAGTATAAGCAATCTGTTGTGTAGTTATTTTCAGTTTTCTTTTCAATTAAATTATACCGGAATAACGGAAAGAAAGTTTTTCGTTTCCTGGATTCAGATAATTACAAAGAATTCAAAAATGGACTGAAATACACGGTGTCCCATTTGAAGATCGAACGTTGCTGTCATTTCCGGAGAGATATCCATGTTCAACATTTCAGATATATAGCTAGAGGAACAAAGGAGAAAAACGGGGTGTATCATCCTTATTAATGAAGTATCAATAACTTATAATTCTAATTTAAAAAAATATGCGGGTGTGTGGGACCCCTATTCAAAGGAGGCTTATTTATGTTTACAAAAGTACCTAATTTCGATTTTATTGCAGTTAATTTGCAAAACAAGTGTCAGTAAACCGGATGACCACAAATTTACTAGATAATATGTCCTTTTTTTATAAACTTTGGAATGTGATTGTCGAAAAATTCATCAGTATTCATTGACTTTTCCGGAATTTTCCAATACTGAACATACAGACTGAAAATAAACCATCCATTTCATTTTTATCTATTAAACTAAACTGCTCAGCACATGAAACGTAAAATCGCATTTTTTTGATCAAATTCGAATCATCATAACTTTCCTTTGGTTTTCCTCAACCGATTTTCAATTATTTTTCAGTTTATTACATTTCTTCTGGATGAGATTATACAGGATGATAATCAAATTTGAAAGAAAAATTTTTCTATTTTTTTTTCGGGGTCGAAAACATATTGCTTCATATGTTTTCTCGATACTGTAAAAAAAAATTGGGAATCGTCACATGCGTTACTGAAATATGAATGTTTTTATCAAGAAAATGCAGAAATTCTCTCGCTCGTCAAAACAAGATTTTTTTTTATTACTCGATGTCATAATTGTTGTTTGAGGACCACCCTGTAGATAAGAATAGGTTAATCATGCATCATTTCAAGATTTTTGACCACCGTTCGAACCAGATCGACAGTACCACAAAGCCAAGAAGTTGGAGCATCAAATTATGCATTTTCTCAATAAAAACATTCATATTTCAGTAACGCATGTGACGATTCCCAAAATTTTTTTACAGTATCGAGTTTTTGACCCCAAAAAAATATAGGAAAATTTTTCTTTCAAACGGGAGACGTTTGAAATTTTTGTAAATATGCACAGCTTTGATTATCATCCTGTAGAATCTCATCCGGAAAAGATGCAATACTCATATCCATAGGTTCAATAGTCAATGAAACGAGCTTTCAGAAACTGGAAAATAATTGAAAATCGGTTGAGGAAATCGAGAGTTATGATGATTCAAATTTGATCAAAAAAATGCGATTTTACGTTTCATGTGTTGAGCAGTTTATTTGTGTCAAAGCTGAAACAAAAGTTGATATTTTCAGCACTTTATACCTCGAAAATACGTGGGTCTATAGAAAGAAGTTTGAAGAAACTGTTTTCAAATCTTTTTTTGTGAAAGAAAGCTACCATCACCAGCGTAGATAATAGTAAAACAGTAAAAGACTTAGAAACAATAATTAATAATGAATTCAAAATGTTATATATCAACAGGTTGAGGCCTGATTAAGTTCTATACCAGTGATTCAAAGATTCTAGTAAAACAGGTTTCTGAATATGTTTTGAAATGAATTCTCTCCCAAACATTTTAGTCAGATTTGTTGCAATCAGAAATTGATCTTTGGAAAAATGAATGGGAAGAAACCAAAAATAAACCTATAATGATTTACCCAAAGAAACAGCCATGGATACTTTACAGCATTGCAGTATCGAAATATTTCCCACTATTTATACACTCCTGCTGATAAAATTTGTTATGCTGGTGAGTGTGGTGAGTGCTGAAAGATCATTTTCTATACACTCAAGTAAGACACTGAAATCATGGTTGAAGTGTACAATGGGTCAGGCTAGTCGGATTAAATTTATATTAAATATTCATAGATATATTGAAATAGATATACAGTGTGACCCATTTAAGATGGAAGCACCCTTATAAAACTTACATTTTTCAACCGATTGGAATGATTTTTTATTTGTTAGGTAGATATTCAAAAAGTCTATTAGGACACCAAATATCATGAATAAATCTCCATTTCCAGGGCCAACTAATCTGATTTTTCAAGGTCAAAAATCTAAAAAAATTACTAGCGATTTTTTTAGAAAAAATCTGACTACACCACTGGATTTGTGACATTTTCAAATGGGTAACATGTAAATTACGTTGAAATGCGTCAATCAATAAAAAAGTTATGAAGGAATGAAATTTGAAAAATATGCCGTTTAATCAACCCATCAATTTTTATTACTGAACAGATTTCGATGAAACTGTGATCAATAATATTTCAAGACATCCTGAATCCAGTGGAGTATACAGAATTTTCATAAAATTCCTGAACATGAATTGGTGGGTTGATTAAACGGCATATTTTTCAAATTTCATTCCTTTATAACTTTTTATTGATTGACGCATTTCAACGTAATTTACATGTTACCCATTTGAAAATGTCACAAATCCAGTGGTGTAGTCAGATTTTTTCTAAAAAAATCGCTAGTAATTTTTTTAGATTTTTGACCTTGAAAAATCAGATTAGTTGGCCCTGGAAATGGAGATTTATTCATGATATTTGGTGTCCTAATAGACTTTTTGAATATCTACCTAACAAAAAAAAAATCATTCCAATCGGTTGAAAAATGTAAGTTTTATAAGGGTGCTTCCATCTCAAATGGGTCACACTGTAGATGCTGTTATCGATAGGTTTTCCTGGAGGTTTTCAAATCAATGTAAAAGACTCTGTTTTATAATCTAGTCACGAGGGTACCCGATATTTTGTTAATTAGCTTTAATCAAGAGTTTTGAATGATAAGTTACCTACTTTATATTATCTAATGGTGAAATTGAGAGATTATTTCTTTTTTTTTTCTCATCTAGTTCATATAATACACATATAAAGTATGTTTTCATCGAGAATATTTATCTTGACTTGTTCATTTGAATGACTGATAATTGTTATTTTGGTAATTTTGAATATTCTAAGATACAAAAACAGCTTTAATAAAAGTTGAAGCTAATAAACCACCATTTTGTGTTGATTTATTATACACTGAAACGCGTTGTACTACTAGGCAACCCCCAAATTATAATTTAATTTCCGCTACTGAGTACCCCTCCCCCCTAGAAAAAAAACATACCTACGCGCCTGACTACCATTGAATTATTTTATTGACGTAGGTATACAAATATTCGGTCACTCGGTATATAAGTACATTATAATGTGAGATATTTCATAAAATGACTAATAGTTTGAGACACTAGAAGAAAAAATGGTTATAAACCTCGACCAGAACCTTCTCACCGTCCATTGTTTCAATGGTTATAAATAATAATAGCAATTCCCAAAGGTCACACAATTACAACACAAGATGACCAATAAGCAGGTACTTTACTTGAGTTTCTCTTCAGACCTTGTGAACACACGATTTCAATTTTATTCAAAAATACCTGCATTGGTAATGATAAAGGAACATTTAGAAGAGAGTTTTGAAGGAAGGACTTGTCACTGAATAGGTAGGAATGGATATATGACAATGTTCTTTTAGAATGCCTAGGATGACTTAATTCCTACCTATTGAACAAAAATTATCATTAGTTTACCCACATTGATTATTGGTACTAAATAGTACTAATTAATTTTACAAGTGACTGCAAACAAACCTTGAGTTGAGGTATGCTCAGCAGTAAAAAAACTTCAATATTTAATTGCTAATTATAGTAATTTTGTGCTCATTTGTTCCGAGGTGAATACCTGTAAGCTTATTCTTCTCCTTAAAGACTGATTCCAAGCTATCATCTACACAATTTAAACAACTGAGTACTTATTTATCTGAAGAAATATTTAAGTAGATTTAGGTTTCAAAAGTTACCAAAACAACAAATTAGAAGGAACTTGAGTAAGCTTAGGATGTGATCGTTGATTTCTTCAACCATGCTGGCATTTCAGTGATTCATATTTCTCCATCCTCAACACAGACAAGAGAAATAGGTTTCAGTGAGAATTACGGTAAAATCGTTGTTTATTGTGCAACAATGTAAAAGCACTTGTCATGATCCACAAAGGTCAACATCCAGAGTTTCCAATTTAAAGTAATACTGATACATATTATGGAAATTACTCATCAAAAATCAGTTATCTGTACTTAATTACAAGGATAATTTTAGGTTCATTAATCTGTGGTTTGAGTGTTAGCTAGACATAAACAAAACTGGTTTTGTCTTTGTTTCATAATGAAAATATTATTCATTCTGAATTTCCCTCAGTATTTCAATGCTAAATGATTGCCAAATTATTTATTATATTGCCCCTTTTTTATAAAAATGGTTCACTCTCTTTTTATATTCTATTGCTTTCTGCTATAATAATAATTAGATATATTGAGACTATTATTATGACTAATGAGTAAAGGAACAGACATTACTAATACCTACTAACTCTTCAGGGTAAATCTCTTGGTAAATAGTCAAAATAACAATTTAAGAAACGATAAAAAGAATATGTAGGGCACATTAGTAAAGATTTTGACGTATGACAAAGTGGAAGACAAGCTTCTGAAAGGAAATCCCATGTAAATCTAAAATTTGTAATATTCGTAAATACAAAATACAACCCACTCACCATCATTTCTTTTATTCAAGAATGCATTTGGGTTTGGTTAATAGGCTACCACTGCTACTACAAAAGAGGCTCACCTGTGAACTGTTGTTAGTTGTTGAATCGTCTATTTTATCAGTTTCCATCTTTATCATTGTAACAAATCAAGGAAATCGTTTATCGATTTTCAAGAAATGCATACGCACTAATTTGTTTAAAAGGCTTTTTAGTTCGAGTCTCAGCTACCACTTCATTTTAATCACCACTTATTTGTCAAATTGCTATCGAAAACGAATTATTTTAACACTAAAAACTCACAAAGATAACAACACACTTCCTCCTTCGAAGTGTGGCTGCCAGAAATGATAAGAAATGTCATCACCGAACTGCCATAACTTCCAAGAGTGCCAACTGCCAAGCGCCTTGATTGATGTGTCGCCACCCACACAATAAAAAACACCCCAAGTCAATTCATAGAAAACAACACTATTTCCATAAGTTTCTTCCTATGAAAATCACGTAGTAGCCGAATTCATAACAGTTATAGTGGAGACATTTTTTCTATGGTTTGCTTTTGAGTCTGAATTCATTATTTTTTGTCCTACAAAGTGGAGCCATCTGTCGTATTTACTGCGGGTGTCAGGCAGTGTTGCCATTTTCATTAATGTCACAGCATTGGTTGAGGTGACAAGTGACGTCAGTCATGGTATGTTTTTGAGAAAAGTGGAAGAAGTGAAAACTGAAAAGTGGAGAGCCTTGGTGTGCGCGAGAGTTTTTGATTGGGATTGGAAATTGAAATAAAATCCGGCTTCTTACAGTCGTTTTTGAAACACTGGTTATTCTCCAAATTTCAAATATTTCATCAACAAATGAAACAAGCTGAAAATGGCTGAAGAGCAGGTGTGTTGAGTTATCTATAAAATGAATTTTGATCCCTTTGAGTAGATGCTTCTCATAATACATTTGATAAATTTGTCAGCATCTTTTTCATAGTGTCAGCTTTGTTCTCTATGGCATAATATTTTCTCGTTTGCTTGTAAATAATAGCGCAGGGTATTTGTTATCAACAATCTCCCATTCATATTTTGTCTTTAATTGCTGCAGGAGATAAGACAACTAGAGCTCCTCTGCAAGCAATTATATGAGTCCCAAGATACTTCTGCTAGATCAGATGCAGAGAAGACTCTGGTTGTATTCCAAGATGGTCCTGATGCCCTCACCAAATGCCAAGTGCTGCTTGATAGAGGGGACTCTTGTTATGCCCAACTTTTAGCAGCCACCACTCTCACCAAACTAGTTTCTAGGAGTGCTCAGGGGCTCAGTTTGCAGCAGAGAGTGGATATCAGAAATTATGTGTTGAATTATTTGGCCACCAGGCCCAAACTGCCGAATTTTGTGCTGCAAGCTCTGGTTACATTGTTTGCCAGGATTACTAAACTTGGTTGGTTTGACACCCATAAAGAGGATTTTGTGTTTCGGAATGTTGTTTCTGATATTGGAAAATTCCTACAAGTAAGTTGATTCATTCTATTACTTATTTTTCACAGCAAACCATGAAAACATTGGTAGGTACCCAATATCATCAAAAAATCCAGAAATACTTATATATGCATGTACCAGTGGCAGACTGATTGCATGTCTGAATCTTTTTTTATGTTAGAAAAATAAATTATATTATTGTTGATTTGTTGTGTTTTATTATGTTTCATTCTTTTGATTTTTTTGGACTATTTTTTGCTCATGTACTACCTCTGTATCCTTCAATCCTTCCATACATTATGATCAAGTGCTTGATTATTTTGTGAGTTGATTTTATTCAAATACTAATTGTATAACTTTATTTGCTGAAATGGTATCAATTTTTGTCTACCAGAATGCCAGAAATTACTGTCTCAAGCATCCCCCTATATATGTCTTTTAGGGGAAGAATCATTTACCAGTATTTGTATTTCATTGTTCACAGTCTCCTACTTATCACATTTTATGTACTCTCCTTTCAATTTGTTGGTGTATTGCTAAATTATTATCTCATTTTCAATGTAGTTTGGAACATGTTAAATTGTGCATTTCATTTCTTGACCTGTATGAAAATCAATTATTGAATGTGACAAAACTGATTTGGTTGATTTTTGTTTTAGCATTTTCTGTTTCAGAAAGTCTTTATGGGGATTTCAAGTGAATTTTGATGACACTGTACTTAAAGTTGTCAATGTTTACTATTACTATGGAGATATGCTAACATTTTTCATACCTACCTAATATTTCTGCATTGTCTCAGATACTATATTTATGAAAATGATCTATACTTAAGGCCCCAGCACATATCTCTGGGGAATACCTTTTTCATTATGTATAGCAAAGCAATGAGCAGATATCCACCAGACCCAAATATTTGCCAGAGTATCAATGGCTTCTAAATACTTGAACAATTTCCCAAAGGTTCCCTGAGATTTCCAAATATTTTCAAGGAATTTCAATAAATTTCAAAGTTTCAGAATGACTTCTTTGTTTGACTACTTCAGATTACCAAAAACATTTTAAAATCCAATGACTCAAAGTTTACAATGAATATTTCTGAAGAACTTTCTATAAAGCTCAAAGCATTTATGATTTCCTCCAACTACCAAAGAATTACATAAAATTCAGATAATTCCAATCAATTCTATTGGTTCCAAAACTTTCACAGAATTCCAATGACTGCCTTGCAAAGGCTTTCAATTATTTCCACAGAATTCAAACCACATCCCAAAGATTTCAATGATTTACAATAACTTCTATATGACTGCAAAGTATTCTGATAGGTTTCAAAATCCCACAATCTGACTTATGAAGTACAAATACACTCGAGATTCTAAGAATTTCTGTGACTGAGAACTTCAAACACTTCCTGAGGCTTCCAAAGACATTGAAGGATTCCAGTGTGTTAATGTCTGTTATAGTGACTTACAAATACTTAGAAAAAGAAGTTTCATTTGCTTCCTGACACAAATTTCAACAATGATTTCCACTACATCCCAAAAAAATTAAAATGTTCACAACTCTGATATGATGAAAAAGAATTCTAATAACTTTCAAACCTTACATTAAATTTCATTGACTTCTGAAGTCTTACAATGCTTCCCAAATACTTCCAAGGGATTTCAATGACTTAACTGAGAACTCCAATCACTTACAATAACTTCCTAATGCTCCTAAAGACTAAAAGAGTTCCAATGAGTCAGTGTCTTCCACAGTTACTTAAAAATACTTCTAAAGAATTTCAATCACTTTCTAAGAAGTCTAAACACTTGAAAACACTTCCTAAGGCACTCAAACACTTGAAAGTTTTCAATGAGTCAATGTCTTCCGCAGTGTTTTCATGATTCAGGATTTCAATGACTTGCCAATAACTCTAAACCTTAACAATCATTTCCTTAGACTTCCAAAGACTTTTAAAGGATTTCAATGAGTCAGTGTCTTCCACAGTGACTTTGAATTAATTCTAAATCAATACAATGACTTCCTACAAACTCTGAACCTCAACAATTACTTCCTAAGTCTTCCAAAGACTATCGTGGGATTTCAATGAGTCAGTGACTTCCTAATACTTCTTAAGATTTTGAATTACTTCCTATGAACTCCAAACCTTTACAATAACATCCTAAGACTCCCAAAGATTTGTGAAAGATTCTAATGAGTCAGTGTCTTCCACAGTGACTTTCAATCACTTCAAAAGAATTTCAATGACTTCCTACAAACTGTAAACCTTGATAATAACTTCCCAAGTCTTCCAAAGACTTTCGAGGGATTTCAATGAGTCAGTGACTTCCAAATACTTCTAAAGATTTTCAATTACTTCCTTTGAACTCCAAACCGTTATAGTAACTTCCTAAGACTCCCAACGATATGCAAATGATTCCAATGAGTCAGTGTTTTCCACAGTGACTTTCAGTTACTTCTAAAGAATTTCAATGACTTCCTACGAACTCTAAACCTTAATAATAACTTCCTAAATCTGCCAAAGAATTTCGAGGGATTTCAATGAGTCAGTAACTCCCAAATACTTCCAAAGATTTTCATTGACTTCCTATGAACGCCAAACCTTTACAGTAACTTCTTAAGACCCCCAAAGACTTACAAAAGAATCCACTGAGTTAGCGACTACTTTCTGATGACTCCCGAAGGCTCAAAAAGGTTCAATCTGAACGCCAGTTTCATTCGCAGGGCTCCGTAGAACACTGCATGATAGGCGTCCAACTCCTATCGCAGCTCACCTGCGAAATGAACCAAATCTCCGAAGTGGAAGCCAACAGATCCCTAACCAAACACCGGAAAATCGCCTCGTCGTTTCGAGACACCCAGCTGTTCGAGATCTTCAGACTTTCCTGCACTCTTTTGGGCAATGCGAGAGAGAATTGCAAGAACCTCAACTTCAACGATGAAAGTCAGCATGGGTTGATGACGCAGCTGCTGCGACTGGCCCAAAACTGCCTGACGTTCGACTTCATCGGCACGTCAACGGATGAGTCTAGTGACGATCTCTGTACGGTTCAAATCCCGACTAGCTGGCGGCCGGCTTTCCTGGACTTCACTACCCTCAAGCTTTTCTTCGATCTGTACCATTCCCTGCCGAACACCCTGTCTTCATTGGCTCTTTCCTGCTTGGTGCAGATCGCTTCAGTGCGCAGGTCTCTGTTCAGTAATACCGAGCGAGCGAAGTTCTTGGCGCATTTGGTCAATGGGGTTAAGCATATTTTGCAGAATCCGCAGGGACTGAGCGATCCGGCGAATTATCACGAGTTTTGCCGATTGTTGGCGAGGCTGAAGACGAATTATCAGCTGGGGGAGCTGGTGATGGTTGATAATTATCCGGAAGCCATTCAGTCGATGGCTAAGTTTACAGTGCAGAGTTTGCAGGTGAGTTTTTTTGCAGAATTTTTTTTTGTTGATAGGGAATTGAAATATTGTATTACCTTCTTTCTTTGGGGATCTAAAGTCTGAATACATAGGTAGAGAATATACATTGTGACTACAGGGTCCTTTATTCTGGTATCCGGTCCAGCTCAAAAGATTTTTCAAGATTATAGGAAAGAAATTCAAGATTATAGGAAAGAAATTCCAACTTCGTGCCAATTTTTTTTTCTAGGGGAGGTCAAAAATAATACTGCTGATGATCGATTTAATGCAAGACGATGATGATTTCACACCTTCATTTAGCCTGCTTTGACAGGTCGGTGAAGTGGCTTGAAATCAAAATTCTAAGGGCGTACCTTATTTTTTCATGAAGGTGTCAAAAATAAACGAAATTTCGAAACGTAGGCCCTCAAAATCATTTTTCTCAGCTTCTCTCAAGAAGTTACGAAATTTGGGGCGTGCCAATTTTTTTTAGGGAGGCCAAAAATAATAAATTTACTGATGACCAGTATTTTCACACCTTCATGTTGCCCTTGACAGGTCGGTAGGTGACCTGAAATCAGAATTCCAAGGGCGTACCTAATTTTTTTATGAAGGAGCCATAAACAATGTTCAAATCTCGAGGATTATTCGCAGCTATCCAGAAGAGAAAAATATTGTTAGTCCAGGGACGTACCTTTTTTTTTCTGAAGGGATCAAAAATAAAAAAGCACAATTTCGAACCATACGCCCCTGAAATCATTTTTCTCAGCACATTTCGAGAAATTACGAATATTGGGGCGTGCCAAATTTTTTTTCTGAGGGAGGTCAAAAATAATCAATTTACTGATGATCAGTATTTTCACACCTTCATGTTGCCCTTGACAGGTCGGTAGGCGATCTGAAATCAGAATTCCAAGGGCGTACCTAATTTTTTTATAATGGAGCCAAAAACAATGTTTAAATCCCGAGGCTCATTCGCAGCTATTCAGAAGAGAAAAATATTGTTAGTCCAGGGACGTACCTTTTTTTTCTGAAGGGGTCAAAAATAAAAAATGCGAAATTTCGATCCATACGCCCCTGAAATCATATTTCTCAACACATTTAGAGAAATTACGAATATTGGGGCGTGCCAATTATTTTTCTAAGGGGGGTCAAAAATTCCAAAAATAATAATTTGAATGTCACCCGACTGAAAACAAAGTTGTCACTTTGGAGTCGTACTCACTTACCATTCTCCTGTCATTCTTTCTGTCAGATGTGGCAATTCGCCCCAAACAGCGTCCACTATCTGCTCAGCCTGTGGCAGCGAATGGTCGCCTCGGTGCCCTACGTGAAAGCCACAGAGCCCCATCTGCTGGAAACCTATGCCCCCGAAGTAACCAATGCGTACATCACCTCCCGCCTGGAATCTGTCACCGTGGTGGCTCGCGACGGTCTAGAGGACCCCCTTGACGATCTCGGTATGGTGCAGCAGCAGCTGGAACAGTTGAGCGTCATCGGCAGGTAAGAAGTAGGTTGTTTGCTGGGTAACTGCACGTTTTTATTCCTGGTTGCTGGGTCACTGCTTTAGTTTTTAGTGTGTTGTTGCTAGGTAACTGCATTCCTTCATTTGTAAACATAAGGTATCCGTGTGGTTCAGTTTCATTTGTGGTTGCTGAGTAAGTTCACGGTTTTGTTCATGGTTTGCTAGGTCAGTGAACGTTCTGTTTCTTGTTGCTAGGTTACTGTGTTTCTTAGTTTGTTGATGCTAGCTAACTGCATTTTTTGGTTTGTTGTTGCTAGGTCACTGTGATATTTTTCAGTTTGTGGTTGCTTGGCGTGGTGCAGCTGCAGCTTGAACAGTTGAGCGTGGTCAGCAGGTAGGAAGTCGGTCGATCGGTTGGTTGCTGGGTAACTGCTCTTTTTTTTTTCTGGTTACCAGGTCACTGTGTTTCTTAGTTTGTTGTTGCTAGGTTGCTAATCGAAAAATTTGTCTGATGTTTCTTCGATTGTCTCCAATGGTCGAATTGCATTTTCGATCTAAAACATAATTGGAATTAAATCACGAATTCTCAATAAAATCTGGGATAAAATTATGAAAGAAAAGTATTCGAAATAGATTGAATATACTACCAAAAAGAATGGGCAACTCATCATCAATTGCTGATTTCTGGTCTGGTTTCATCTTCTGTTCAATTTTTCCGCTGGGCTCAAATTGTCGAATTATAATAAGTTGCGTGTCCGATCTAAAACATAATTGGATTTAAATCTCGAATTTTAAATGAATCTGGGATTGAAATTAATGATATATCGCCTTCCATAACAAATATTCAATTTTGAAGAAATATGTTAAAAAAAATTAATATAAATAATATGAAACAGGAATGGGAATTTCATAACTGGTCGCTGGGTTCTGGTCTAGTTTCATCTTCTGGGCAATTTATCCGTTAGTGTCAAATGGTCGATTCATAACACGTTGCTTCTTCGATCTAAAACATAATTGGAATTAAATCTCGAATTTTAAATGAATCTGGGATTAAAATTATGAAAGTTACATGGAATAAGAAACTGAAATATTTACGAAAAGTGTTTCCAAATTCCGTTGCTGAAATGCGACATATACTATATGACCGGAACCGATAGCCAACAATTTTCTCCTAAATGAAAGATACTGTATATACCTAACCCATAAGGCGCCTACCTCGGTTGCAAAGAGGGTTTACCGATGCCAAGGGTTGATACTCTCCCCTCGTAAGGGTACCTGTCGTCTCTCCATTGAGACATAAAGGTGACTATCGAAAAATGTTCTATGATATATCGCCTTCCATAACAAATATACAATTTTGAAAAAATATGCTAGAAAAATTGAATATAATACGAAACGGGAATGTGAATTTCATAACCGGTCGCTGGTTTCTGGTCTAGTTTCATCCTCTGGGCAATTTATCCGTTAGTGTCAAATGGTCGATTCATAACACGTTGCTTCTTCGATCTAAAACATAATTGGAATTAAATCTCGAATTTTAAATGAATCTGGGATTAAACTTATGAAAGTTACATGGAATAAGAAACTGAAATATTTACGAAAAGTGTTTCCAAATTCCGTTGCTGAAATGCGACATATACTATATGACCGGAACCGATAGCCAACAATTTTCTCCTAAATGAAAGATACTGTATATACCTAACCCATCAGGCGCCTACCCCGGTTGCAACGAGGGTTTACCGATGCCAAGGGTTGATACTCTCCCCTCGTAAGGGTACCTGTCGTGTCTCCATTGAGACATAAAGGTGACTATCGAAAAATTTTCTATGATATATCGCCTTCCATAACAAATATAAAATTTTGAAAAAATATGCTAGAAAAATCGAATATAATACGAAACAGGAATGGGAATTTCATAACCGGTCGCTGGTTTCTGGTCTAGTTTCACCTTCTGGGCAATTTATCCGTTAGTGTCAAATGGTCGATTCATAACACGTTGTTTCTTCGATCTAAAACATAATAATTGTAATTAAATCTCGAATTTTAAATGAATCTGGGATTACACTTATGAAAGTTACATGGAATAAGAAACTGAAATATTTACGAAAAGTGTTTCCAAATTCCGTTGCTGAAATGCGACATATACTATATGACCGGAACCGATAGCCAACAATTTTCTCCTAAATGAAAGATACTGTTTATACCTAACCCATAAGGCGCCTACCTCGGTTGCAAAGAGGGTTTACCGACGACAAGGGTTGATACTCTCCCCTCGTAAGGGTACCTGTCGTGTCTCCATTGAGACATAAAGATGACTATCGAAAAATGTGCTATGATATATCGCCTTCCATAACAAATATACAATTTTGAAAAAATATACTAGAAAAACTGAATATAATACGAAACAGGAATGGGAATTTCATAACCGGTCGCTGGTTTCTGGTCTAGTTTCATCCTCTGGGCAATTTATCCGTTAATGTTAAATGGTCGATTTATAACACGTTGCTTCTTCGATCTAAAACATAATTGGAATTAAATCTCGAATTTTAAATGAATCTTGGATTAAACTTATGAAAGTTACATGGAATAAGAAACTGAAATATTTACGAAAAGTGTTTCCAAATCCGTTGCTGAAATGCGACATATACTATATGCTCGGAACCGATGGCCAACAATTTTCTCCTAGAAAAATTGAATATAATACGAAACAGGAATGGGAATTTCATAACCGGTCGCTGGTTTCTGGTCTAGTTTCATCTTCTGGGCAATTTATCCGTTAATGTCAAATGGTCGATTTATAACACGTTGCTTCTTCGATCTAAAACATAATTGGAATTAATTAAATCTCGATTTTTAAGTGAATCTGGGATTAAACTTATGAAAGTTACATGGAATAAGAAACTGAAATATTTACGAAAAGTGTTTCTAAATTCCGTTGCTGAAATGCGACATATACTATATGACCGGAACCGATAGCCAACAATTTTCTCCTAAATGAAAGATACTGTATATACCTAACCCATAAGGCGCCTACCTCGGTTGCAAAGAGGGTTTACCGACGACAAGGGTTGATACTCTCCCCTCGTAAGGGTACCTGTCGTGTCTCCATTGAGACATAAAGGTGACTATCGAAAAATGTTCTATGATATATCGCCTTCCATAACAAATATACAATTTTGAAAAAATATGCTAGAAAAATTGAATATAATACGAAACATGAATGGCAATTTCATAACCAGTCGCTGGTTTCGCGTCTAGTTTCATCTTCTGGGCAATTTATCCGTTAGTGTCAAATGGTCGATTCATAACACGTTGTTTCTTCGATCTAAAACATAATTGGAATTAAATCTCGAATTTTAAATGAATCTGGGATTGAACTTATGAAAGTTACATGGAATAAGAAACTGAAATATTTACGAAGTGTTTCCAAATTCCGTTGCTGAAATGCGACATATACTATATGACCGGAACCGATAGCCAACAATTTCTCCTAAATGAAAGATACTGTATATACCTAACCCATAAGGCGCCTACCTCGGTTGCAAAGAGGGTTTACTGACGACAAGGGTTGATACTCTCCCCTCGTAAGGGTACCTGTCGTGTCTCCATTGAGACATAAAGGTGACTATCGAAAAATTTTCTATGATATATCGCCTTCCATAACATATATACAATTTTGAAAAAATATGCTAGAAAAATTGAATATAATACGAAACATGAATGGCAATTTCATAACCGGTCGCTGGTGTCTGGTCTAGTGTCATCTTTTGTACAATTTATCCGTTAGTGTCAAATGGTCGATTCATAACACTTTGCTTCTTCGATTTGAAACATAATTGGAATGAAATCTCGAATTTAAAATTATGAAAGTTACATGGAATAAGAAACTGAAATATTTACGAAAAGTGTTTCCGAATTCCGTTGCTGAAATGCGACATATACAATATGCCCGGAACCGATAGCCAACAATTTTCTCATAGAAAAATTGAATATAATACGAAACAGGAATGGGAATTTCATAACCGGTCGCTGGTTTCTGGTCTAATTCCATCTTCTGTGCAATTTATCCGTTAATGTTAAATGGTCGATTTATAACACGTTGCTTCTTCGATCTAAAACATAATTGGAATTAAATCTCGAATTTTGGATGAATCTGGTATTAAAATTATGAAAGTTACATGGAATAAGAAACTGAAATATTTACGAAAAGTGTTTCCAAATTCCGTTGCTGAAATGCGACATATACTATATGATCGGAACCGATAGCCAACAATTTTCTCCTAAATGAAAGATACTGTATATACCTAACCCATCAGGCGCCTACCCCGGTTGCAACGAGGGTTTACCGACGACAAGGGTTGATACTCTCCCCTCGTAAGGGTACCTGTCGTGTCTCCATTGAGACATAAAGGTGACTATCGAAAAATTTTCTATGATATATCGCCTTCCATAACAAATATACAATTTTGAAAAAAATATGTTAGAAAAATTGAATATAATACGAAACAGGAATGGGAATTTCATAACCAGTCGCTGGTTTCTCGTCTAGTTTCATCTTCTGGGCAATTTATCTGTTAGTGTCAAATGGTCGATTTATATCACGTTGCTTCTTCGATCTAAAACATAATTGGAATTGAATCTCGAATTTTGAATGAATCTGGGATTAAACTTATGAAAGTTACATGGAATAAGAAACTGAAATATTTACGAAAAGTGTTTCCAAATTCCGTTGCTGAAATGCGACATATACTATATGACCGGAACCGATAGCCAACAATTTTCTCCTAAATGAAAGATACTGTATATACCTAACCCATAAGGCGCCTACCTCGGTTGCAAAGAGGGTTTACCGACGACAAGGGTTGATACTCTCCCCTCGTAAGGGTACCTGTCGTGTCTCCATTGAGACATAAAGGTGACTATCGAAAAATTTTTTATGATATATCGCCTTCCATAACAAATATAAAATTTTGAAGAAATATCCGAATCAAATTGAAAATAATATGAAACAAGAATAGGAAACTCGTCACCGTTCGCT